GTTGCTAAGGGTTAATAGTTAATTGGAACCAGCTGAACCCTAAACTCATTCTAATACCTGGGGTAGTCTAGTATTTTGAAATGTGTTTTGCAAATGTTTTACTTTCATGACCTGAAATTATAAGTGAATAATCTCATTACTTGATTTTTCTTATGCTACATGTGGAAGAAGGTACCACAAAAATGCATGTTTTATAGCACAACTCCTGTAGTTTAGGTTACAAAACTGTTTGTTTTAAACTTTTGTTTCCACACATTTCTTCTTGAAATATTCATCTTTTGGGTTGACACCACCCATTCTTGGTTTAAGACCGAGGGTGATTTATTTTTATTTGTTTTAGTTTGGAAAATTGAGCAAAGTCATTTTAGTCAAAAACACCTCTCCCATTAAAAAAAAAAAACTCAATTTAACAATCAGGGTGGCTACATTTTAATTAATTTATATATTGCTATGGGGCTAGGTAAAAGAAGGAAAATGCTGTTCCATCTCTCCTTAGTGCCCACATTCAATCTCTGCTTTGTACCCCACCATTATTCCTCAAGAGTGTAAAAGAGAAGGATTAAGCAATAAATTTTGTACATAAAAATGATCACTCCTATAAATTACACAATTACTATATCACGTGGCACTAATAAAAATTATTTGGCTTTTTAGCATATTCTAGTTTCAGTAAAAAATTAATGAAATCAAAATTTATTAATTGAAATAATTGTTAATTTTATGTCTTTTTGAATTCAATATATTACTAGTTGTACAAAAGAAAATAATTGTGCAATTAGTGATGGATTTGTCATTCTCATAAGTAATTATTATACTGCACTTAGATGCAGTTGAATAAAGTATGGGGGGGTTAAATATAAAAACAACAAGAATTATTTTTGGGGGTTCGTAAATGTTTGTATATATTGAAAAACGAAATTACTGGTACAATGCTGCTATTGCATTGACTTCCTGTTAGTACTCTGTCTGAAGTGTTTTAATAAGGAAAGCTGCAAGCTGAGTGGATTTTTGAGTCGATACATTCACAGGAAGTGTTTTAATATTGGAAGGGTTTGGGGGGGGTTGGATACTCTTACCTACCCTATTATCCTGATTCTGCAATTGGCCATGCAATATGCTTCTAGAATTGGGACCAAAATATATTACAGTATTATGAAAGGAAGCAGTCAAAAGGGATCATAACTAAGGGGCTAAATCTGCTGTTGTTGCAGTCGTTCATTGGTTCATTAATTTTAGTGGAAGCCGGATCCAACCTTGAAGGGTCAGAGAAATAAATAAAATAAATTAAAAATCCTAAAAACTGGATAGCTCAGTGGTTTGAGCATTGGCCTGCTAAACCCAGGGTTGTGAGTTCAATCCTTGAGGGGGCCATTTAGGGATCTGGGGCAAAAATTGGGGATTGGTCCTGCTTTGAGCAGGGGGTTGGACTAGATGATCTCCTGAGGTCCCTTCCAACCCTGATATTCTATGATTCTATGATACTGTACACATATCTAAACTACAGCTAATTTGGATCTCTTGGGGAGATGGGCAGACCTTGAACTGGAGGGATACACATAGATATCACACTTCCCACCCTGCCTCCCAGTTCTTACTGCTGCTGGTTTACAGGAAAAGTGAGAACAGAGAAAAGGTTTATGTTCACTATCAGTGTGTGTGTGTGTGTGTGCATATGCATATATGTGCGGGAGTGGAATATTTTATTATATCCCCATAATCTGAGTTCAAGTGATAAAGTTGGGGAGGATGGGATCCCAGTTCATTCATTTTGATTGAAACCTTGAACAATCCAATGGTTTTAGCAGATTTGGGAGGTTATTTATATACAAAAGTAAAAATGAACAATAAGAGGTGTAAACCCCACACAGATTGAAACTGAACAAGTTTATGCAAAGCCCAGCAAAGCAAAATGCCACATTTCACAAGTTCCAGGGCTGTATCCTGCAAACACTGACTTAGAGGGGTCTGCGGACATGAGAGAAGACATTTCCAGGCATAAGTGTTTGCATGATAAGAGCCCTAATCAGGACTTGAGCTTTGTGCTCCATCAATGAGAGAACATGGGGCTCTGGCTCCACATTGACTCAAAGGGAAAGGCACCATCTATAGAATCACCAACACTATTTTCTGCTTATGGAAAAGTCCTACAGAATGACCGAAAGAATAAGCTCTCCTGCACAAACTGATAATTATATTCCTGCACTAGAATTCAAAAAGATGGTTTTAAAATTTATATCATAAAGCTCTTATTCTTTATTCAATCCGTTAGGATTTTAAGAGTAATTTCTATAAAACTATCAGTTTCAGTGCTTTTAAATTCATAGTTTCCGAGCACGTAGGCCACAAAGGGACCATTTAGTCTGATCTTCTGCATATGACTGCCCTGCACCTTTAAGTGCATGGGCAGGGGAGAAGATGGGGGTGTTTGGCTGGCTGTCCAAGTGAAGAGAACAGTGCTTTATGGCTGGGGGAAAGGGGGAAGATGAAAACTGCTGCAAAAAGGGGCACTGTGATCACTGACTCATTCTTTGGGAATGCAGGGTTTAAAAAGGGGCAGCTCAGTGCCTCAAGCCTTCCTTTTTAAACAGACCAAGGGGTCCCAGCAATGAAATTTTTGGAAGGACTTGGAGCGAAAAAGAGGGGGAGCTGGTGGAAGCCCCCTACCCCGGGTATGATAAGGTCCCAGCAATGGATTTGCTGGCGGGATCTGGATGGAAAAAGAGGGGGAGCTGGTGAAAGCGGGTAATTCTGGAATAAATATGGAGTTACCTGCATTGTACACTGTTATCTGCTGGGTAGTCCCAGACATCTAATAATAACATTGCCGCCTGATTAAACCCATGTCAGATGTCTCCTGTCCTTCTTTCGGCATAGCCAGACAATCATAGGCAATTAAATTTCAGCCCCAGATACCCCTTCTATAATACTTTTCCACATGAGGCAGCAGCACCCAAGCCCTGACAAGGTCTGATCCCTGCTACCTGAAAACAAATGGAAATCACAGCCCGAAGTAAATAGGTTACGTGTATTAGTTTCTGACTGGAAAGCAATGGATTCGGGGACCTAGAGTCCATCAAAGCCAATCTTCAAGAAGTATGTTATGTCAAAATGATGTGTAACAAGAGTTTCTGAGGCCAAGAGGTGTCACAGCAGATATTATTTAAAGATTATTCCTGTAAATAAGTATTTTTACATACATGCACTCTGATTGACTTTCAAGGAACCTATATGCATACTCCTAATTTTGTTATCCTGAAGCTATTTTAATCTGAAGAAAAATAGTATTCTTAAACTGTCACTCTCACAATAGATTATCCTGAATTTCTGCATGTCCTTAGAAAGGAGTCTCTACTCTAACATGGTCACTACACAAATACTTGTATTTTATCCAATGGTTATTTCTAATAAGCTAAACTGCACATGTATTTAGATTGCTTATTCAGTTCAGCACACAATGTACTGCATAAAATATCACATCTGGAAATAATTTTGGTCCAAAGTTGTTTGTAGAAATAAAAAACTGTTACTTTCATCTTGAAGCAGCATAACTAAGTTTTCTTATTTATTTTATTTTGCAAATGAGGACAAAAAAGGCTGAATTATATAAACTGAAGGATGACATAAGATTATGGCTTTCAGTACCAACCATCAGAGGGCAAGGAAGGGGCCAATTAGTAGAGCAGTGATATGAAGTTTGCACTTTTTCCGTTAACAAATACAGGATTCCAATTTCTCAGTGTCCAATTTCACACTGTCTCAGTGTGGCAGCTTTTTTGATCTCTAAGTTTGCGTTAAGAGATATAATGGCTAATTACTGTCAATATCAAAGGCTACACAACTTGGGTAAAGAAAGTGAGATTATGAAGACTTAAGACCAGATCCAAAGTCCACTGAAACCACTGAATGCATCCGATGAAGTGAGCTGTAGCTCACGAAAGCTTATGCTCAAATAAATTGGTTAGTCTCTAAGGTGCCACTAGTACTCCTTTTCTTTTTGTGAATACAGACTAACACGGCTGCTACTCTGAAACCTGAAACCAATGAGTTTTTCCACTGACTTCAGTATGTGTCAGATCAGGCCCTTGAACTCAAGTATTTCACATTCTTCTAATGTTCATCTAAACTTTAAGAACACTCAGAGGACCAAACGTTTTGTCATAATAGAGAGCTAGGCTGGTTTACATGAAATGCAAACTGATGAGAGGGAAAAGGGTCTAAAAACTTTGTTAATCTTCACTGGAGTAGAAAACCAAAGTGCTATTTGGTATTCATGAGGACAATTAATTGAGAAGAAACTTTTGGTTCAGGAAAGTAGTATTTAGGGGGAGGGATTCAGATACTTTGAAGATCGTGCCAGCTTTCCTTTAATTATTGAGGAATTAGAACAACAAACCTGGCAGGTTGCTAGCTGGACTTAGCCCAGGCAGATGGCACTACACCATATAAACCAGTTTTGGGGAAAAGTCTGCTACCATATGCTAGAGTCAGTTCAGACTAAGCTAATTGTTGTTCTTATTGTACTGAGAGACTATTCTCCATGAAATCTCTTATGGACAGGTCACAGTTACAGACTAGCAAAAGGGAGAAGGGAAAAAAGAGATAAAAATCCAAATGGTTATATACTTTCAGTGAGCTTGTTTACTCCAGTCAAAAATAAAGGTCAGAATGGTAAACTATTACGAATAACCTTTCAGCTCAATCCCCATAGTACTAACATTCCTAAACCCTGTTTGGAAAATAAAAATTGAATGTTGTAATTAATTACATGCTGGTTCTCCTCCACCTCCCTCCCCGCCCCCCCCCCCATCCCCCCGCACCTTTCTCTCCCAGCTGTGGTAGCAAGAAATGCATAAAGAAGATCAGGGAATTGAACAATAATCAGTTAAATTACATAAATTGCAAAAGAACTTGCAACAGTCATTTAAGAAAGTTTAATACTTTGACACTAAGAGGAACAATGACAAGACTTGATGTGTAGATACTGTTAGCTGAAAAAATACCTTAGTATCCAGTATTCTCAGTCTTGGCTCTTTTTCCAGGCAAACATAAAAGTGGATGCCAGTTTCCCCAGGCTCTTCCCTGCAAGAATAAGATGAATACAGACACCTTTTAAAAAAGTAAGCTACCTAGGTGTTATATAACCATTTATCTGCAAATACTATGGCACTCTCAGTGTATCTGTCACTGCCTTGCCCTGTGACTGGACATGATTCTCAGGAGTAATATTTTTTGTCCTGTCTACTGAAATAGGCCATCACTGTGCTTTACAAATATTTAATCTCACAGGAGCCCTGTTTGGCAGGTACTTTAAATATCACTATACGCAGAGTCCAGATGGCTAAACTAACATACTAGGAAGCTAAGTGTCTTCCCAATGTCACACAGAAAGTCGATGACTGCAGGGAATAGTACCCAGGAGTCCCAACTCCCAATGAAATCCTTAGATAAAAGATGCTGTGCTAAGATTTTTCATAGAATTATATATTTCATACCATCATATATCTTTTTCACTTTGGTCCATCAGTGCTTTCTGACATCTCATCAATGCCTTCAAATGATGCTGTAGCTAAGTAGTGATTCTTGTAAACAGGTGATGAACTATAGAGATCTTCTATAGGTAAATCATTCCTTAAATACTTTTGCTTATTGGGGTTGGTGACATATTTTTTTAAAAAATAAAATATTGACATGAACCTTCACCCAATATCTGAATCAGTCCTGATCCAAGTATTTTTTGATGTTGGAAAAAAGATGGATCAAGTTTTTTCCCCTAATGGTTTTTGCTGATCTTTGTTCATAGGCTCTAGCTTGATATGAACGACCAGAAACCTGAAAAGTAACTCTGCTTTCATGAGATTTCTACTGCAATGTTGCATGTTCAAGTGACTCAGGATCATTCTGAAAAGGGAGTGTGCACTAAGATAAGTACTGTTCTTTTGGGGACTTTTCCAATCTGAACTTCTGAAATGTTTGAAATTCTGCCATCACTAGTTAGATACCACTCATCTCTGGGAGTTATCTACTGAGTGCTAACATTAGAACATATCTTACCACACAAATCTAGTGAGCAAGAGCCTTTGTTCTTGTAGGGGGTCTTAAAATTTACCACTTTGCCTCTTATACATTGTGGTGATACTTCCTTCAATTCAGGAGGACTATACAACTCCTTCTCTAGAGCCTAACAATGTGACCAATGACTGTTATTGTGGAATGCAATGAGGTGTTCCCTCTCCCAAACCTAAGCATACATCAGCCTCTCCTTGTTTATGGAGACTGGCAGATGTTCATAACTGGAATTTGGATCCACCATTCACTTGATTCTAATTGTTGTCCTTTGCAAAGAAATGGCATTGCACCTCACTGATCACTGTCTGCCTTTGAAATTTCTACCAAACTGGAACCTCAGCAACATGACATTGGAATGGACCATTTATCCAGTAAGGAAGCTGAAAAATTAGTACTAGCATTCACATCAAAATAGCTTATTGTCAGAGTTTAGAGTATAAGGCTTGAGGAAATTTGTGTAATGTTCTTCAGCATCCATCACCTACAAATTAGTAGTAACATACAGTTAAAAACTTCCAACATATACAATTTGTTAAGGCCAGAATTTCAGAAGATCCTCTATAAGCTCTGAATCAATCCAATAACTTCTGCTTGAGCTATAGCATATCTTTCAGAAATAGATCCAGTCTTTAAAGACTACAAATGATGGACAGCCCATCAGGTCTCTAAGTAAAATGTTCCAGTGGACAATTGTTCTCAGAGTTATTTGTTGCCTAAATTTGTGTAGCTTCAGCAGCCAATCATTGGATTTTGTTGTGCTTTTTTTCTGCTAGATCAAAAAGCCAGAAAAGAGTTAGAAATCTCTTCCTCAATAAAGGAATAATGTCAGGGATTTGTAAATGTTTTTTATATAAACACTAATGCCAGGGATTGTCTACTGATCCCTGCCTGGTTTCAAAGCCATCAAAAATGTCAAAGTCAGACAAAAGTACTTCCCAAATCTCTACTGCCCAGATGTTAGATACATCAACCCTTTGTACTTGACCTTCTGTGTTTCTAGATCTACCTTTGTGAGCCCAAGCCCATCTTTTATACCAATTAATATAGTAAGTAAGATAATCATGCGCCATTCAGTTATACTCTTATAAAAAGTGGGTGTTAGAGAAAGGGAAGGGGTGGGGGGTCTACATGCCAAGAATTGCGTGTGTACTGTGGGCCGATAGGTCTTGCCCCCATGCTCACTTACGTCTATGAGAATCAGGATTAACTCCACTGAAGTCAGCCGTTTAACACTGGTGGGCGGGACAACAGACAATACGACGGCCTAGTATATTGTTCTTCAACATAAAAAAAACTCACAGAAAAAGTTTGGGATGGTGGTGGCTTGGTGAGATTTTGTTTGCTTGTTTATCCTTCTGTATGCTTATTTAAAAATAATTTCTAGTAGTGACCACGTTACCAGATTTCAAATGACAAAATAGCCAATAAATGTTGAGAATATCATGAAACCTAATGCAAAGATGGCACTATGGTATAGCCATACGTTAGAACTTCAGCCAGACAAGGATATATGCAGATATTGGATTGTGACTGAGCTGCAGACATTATTTAGGAGGAAAGCTTTGAGAGTGATAAACCTTGACAGGCAACAAGAAGGATAACTACTGTGCACTTCTCGGTCTGCTGCCCAATAAGAAAAATACGCAGTAATTTAGTCTGACTTTCCTTGCGTCAATGTTATCCATTAGCTAATAGACTTTAATCTTCCGTTAAGAGCACAAGTTTCTTGCAGCACTGGAACAATGATCTGTATCCTGTTCCTGACTTAGTCTTATGTACCCAGCAGCTGCTGCAGCGGAGCTGCAAAGAGCTTAAGTCAGGACAGAATTTAGTCCACTGTGAGTTGCTGGCTTTCTCCACATTGCTAGGTGAATATTTAAGTATGAGTGGTGCTTTGAATTACCATTAATGCAGGAGGAGAATATATATAATATTACATTTTATGGATACCTGTAAGATAGCAAATATGTTTATAATTTTATTACAAATAAAAATGTTAAAGGTTAAGTGCAGTGTCTTAAATAGATTAATGTTCAAGTGTTTCATACTTATTGGGATGGTATGGCGCACCAGCAAAAATAAATGTTCATATTCTCATCATAATCTCTAAATGACATTAGTTCCCGTACAATCACCAGACACTTTGGACACTTATTAAGAAAGGACTGGGGTTAGAATAGCAGGATTTTGTAAGTGGAGGCTGATTGTATATGGGAAAAGGGCTAGGGGCAATTTGAACAGCTCTTACTTACACTAATTTTGTCTCTCTAGCCACTGTTGTTATTTCCCTGCCTTCATGAGCACCACACTTCTCTCAGATTAAAACTCAGGATTATTAGAAAACACTAGCTAATGGCCTTCATGGTAATCTTTAATAATCCACAAGAGATAGGAACAGTGTGCCTCAGCCTGAATCATCCTGGCTGGGTGTTCCCACTGCCATTGCCATCCCTAATTATAGATGCTGAGGAGACTCATTTCACATTGTCTATTTATTACCCTTCGTAGTTTTCCACTTTGATCATTAGAATCTGTGTTTTCCTCACTGTGTTGCTGTTGCTAGTGTCTTTGTTCTTAAATTATCCTTCTTCATCCACTTTCTTCTCCTCCAAATATGGCTTCAGTTTCCTTTTGCAACCGCTCCCTATGTAAAATCACTTCTGGGTGGGGGGAACAAGCAGGGGAACTACTGGGCATTGGGTTGCTTAATCTGGACCAGTATTAGACACAAGTTTAAACCACAGTAATGACATAGCAACTAATTGATGGAAATGCTAATGATTATGAGGTAGACGGGTAACTGACCCATCAGAAGTAACCCATCAAAAGGTGGGGGTATGGATGTTCAGATACAGAAAAAGGTTTGAACCTATCGTGAATATGCATAACATATATGCATAAGACATAAATGGGTGTTATAAAAGCTACTACCCAGCCTTTGTGCCATGGGACATGCTGGGATACAGGACGAGGATGGTCACCTACAGATACTTAACCCATCATCTGTTTGCCTCCTTCAGGGTTCCCTGCAGGGGATGATGTGAGTAATGCAAGTCTGTGTTATCTCTATCTCCTTTGCTATAACATAGTGTTTGTGATTTTGTTTGGTTAATTAAATTGATAATAAAAATAAAAAGTATTTGTTTCTAGTGTGCTCCTTGGGGCCATCATTCCAATGACAACTTCACTGTTGGAGGCAGAATCCTCTCAGACCACTGCATACTACATTGCCAAATTACAGTTAACTCCCAAACTGCAGATTAGCTACAAATCATAGGAATGTAGGATTGGAAGGGACCTCAAGAAGTCATCAAACCCAGTTCTCTGCATGATGCAGGACTAAGTAAACTTAGACCACCCCAACAGGTGTTTGTCCAGCCTGTTCTTAAAAACCTCAATGATGGGGATTCTACAACCTGTCATAAAATGTCAGGCTTGGAAGAGACCTCAGGAGGTCATGTAGTCCAACCCCCTGCTCAAAGCAGGACCAAGCCCCAATTTTTGCCCCAGATCCCTAAATGGCCTCCTCAAGGATTGAACTCACAACCCTGGGTTTAGCAGGCCAATGCTCAAACTACTGAGCTATCATTCCCCCCGTCTTGGAAGCCTATTTCAGAACTTACTACCCTTCTAGTTAGAAAGGTTTCCCTAATATCTAGCCTAAATCTTCCTGGATGAAGATTAAGCCCTTTGCGTCTTGTCCCACCTTTTGTGGACAAGCATAATTGATCACTGTCTTCTTTACAACAGCTTTTAACACATTTGAGGACTGTTCTCAGAGCCCACCCCAGTCACCTTTTCTCAAGACTAAATGTGCCCAGTGTTTTATTTAACCTTTCCTCATAGGTCAGGTTTGTATCATTTTTGTTGCTGTCCTCTGGACTTTCCAATTTGCCAACATCTTTCCTAAAGTGCGGCACCCAGAACTAGACATAGTACTCCAGCTGAGGCCTCACCAGTGCTGAGTAGAGTTGGGCAATTACCTCCCATGTCTTATATAAAATACTCTTGTT